ACCGAAATGAATTTTTTTTTTTTTTTTTTTTTTTCTTCATTCCAGAGGATCAAATCGATACACTTTCGATTATGGGAAAGATATCACAAAATAAACCTCTATACTGGATTAGGAACCTGCAGTATTATGTTGTCATGACATTAATCATTCAATTGCAGTCATTTCAGACGTCATTGTTTATTCGTTTATGTTTGTTCTAGTGAAAATGTTCAGATATACATCACCATTACTGTAGACAGAAGCAGCACTAATGTCCTCCAGGCTCTGCCCAAGAGAAAATCAGCTCCAAGTGAAAAAGACTAATAAAATACTCTCCCTTTAATTTTACTAGCGGCTGATAAAGGAATATGTAATAAAGTACTTTTTTCACACTTCTTCTGTAAAACTGAAGCCACCCTTCTTGGTGCTTTGACACCTAAAATATCCTCTTAGATACATAAAAAAAAGACTTTATGCAATAAAAACAAGTTTATATTATGGGTAGCAACATGTAAAATAAAATCACAACTCTGCAGAGAAGATGGAAAATACAGAATTTGCATAGCAGATTAGAATACAACTGAGAAGGAACTGCGTTTTTGGTACAATATGGTTTTGTCACATAGCTTTTGATGCTATCTGTATGTACAGCGTGAAGTCCGTTTCAGTTCCTTTCTTGCCAGTCCATAAAGCAGAAATGGATTTAGAGTCTGTCACTATAATGCTCACAAAAGAAATGCCAAGCATCTCGTTCGCTTCTCGTCGCGCTGCTCCTCTCAGGCGAGACGTGTCATATCAATGTTTGTGTAGGAGTTTCTTACAGGAAAACAAGTAGATACTGTTTCGAAAGTGCCATCTTGCTACATTTGATTCCACGGTCTGTTCATGAAAATTAAACATGTCGAACATCCCGATAGCTTGAGTTTTGGTCACATTCTCTCGTACACACACACACACACACACACACACACACACACACACACACACACACGCCATCTTGCTACATTTGATCAACTGACTCCATGGTCTGTTCGTGAAAGTTTAACACATCATGTTGAACATCCCGATAGCTTTCAGATACTGAGTTTTGGTCACATTACATTCTCTCGTACACACTCACACACATACACCCAAGCGGGGACCTGAACTGAGCAGGTCATGGGTTAGAAGAGGTAAAAAAGATGCACTCTAGAGGTTTAATCAATGTTCCACATTCCAGCAGCGGGTAAAGCTTTGAAATGAACAAGCACCATTTGGAAAAGGCCTCCGAAGTCCTCCATTTTGGGAGAGAGAGTTCAATTTTAGCAGTTTCCGCTCAATAAAGAAAACTACATTCAGACTGGCAAAAGTCTCAGTGGCTGAAATGTTCGTTTTGGGTTTTGCTTTCTTGGCTTTCTGACATGGTCGTTTCAAGGCAAAAAGCAGCCCTCGGTAGCGGCCTTACTGGAGGCGTCTCCATTCGAGGGGAGGCCCTTTCTCAACTCCCGTGTTTGTAACGAGTCCCAAGGGTGTGTTCACGAGTCCTCACCGCCTCTGGTGTGCGTAGACTGGGTATGCTAACGTGACATTCAAAGAGTCATTGTGCTGAACCAGGGACGTATGCTGGTAGTGCAAGACCAGTTCTTTCAGAGAGCTGTAAAGGTTGTAGGGCTCAGCGAAGCCATATCCTGTGGGTGTCTTGTTGATGACGCAGTGCTTGACCTCACCATCCACACTGCGAGAAGACAAAGAGATGGGTTTTAGTCATCAGTGCCTTTTGCAATTTCCCATTTCTACATGCAACTGGTCTAGTAGTCAATGAATTGCACAGAATGTCAAGAGATGTCCATGTAAAAACAACCAACATGTGAACTGATGCTGCCCCACAAGCACAAAAAAGTGGTACGTACACAACACTACAGGCGTAACATCCAGCTTTGCTGCTGTCCCTGACCAGGAATGTTCCGTCTCTCTTGCCCCGCAGCAGGGCCTCTGCCTGGATGCGGTTAATGTTACCCAGCTTCCAGGAGCGTTCGTCATGGTGTGGCAAATCTTCATCGTCATCCACCATTGAGTATTGACTAGCGCAGAAGTGGAGAGTTTAATTTAGCAACCAGGAAAACTTTTAAATGTCAAGTGGCTATAACATGAGAAGCAGAATACTCACTCGTCCTGGTTGTCGTTTTTGATTCCCAACCATTCGTTGAGTTTCTTCTGTCGGACCCCTTTCTGTGTCAACCACCTGTGGCAGCAAAAAAAAGAGAATCGTTTATTACATTACATTGTACTCCATATAGTCATTTCTGAATGCAAGACTGTGTCCTGCGTGTTAAATTTGAAGTGCAGAACCTATGGAGTATGAGCTACTTACATGAGGTACTGATCCCTGGTCTTTCTGAGCTGGATGAGGTCAGGCTTAATGCTGTTCATCCGCTTGTCGATCTCTCTGTAGTCCGCCGCTTGCTTCTTCAGATCTTCCTCAAGACGACGTTTGCTGTCCACAATTTCACTGATGCGCGATTTTAACTTCTCATAGTTGACCATTATCCTGCATTGAAACATTGCAGAGATGTTGCATTACACTTCTGAAATGTTTGCCAAAAGACTACTTTGGAAGTTCTCAGCTTCAGGACTCACCTTTGGATTTCCTTCTCATTGCCTTCTCTCCTGAACTTCTCAATATATTCTTTGCTGTACCGTTCTTGCGTCTGGCACTGCTCTTCAAAGATCTTTATGGTCTCATTAAAAGCTTCAATAGCAGTCCTTTTCATTTGTATTTCCTAGTGAGCAGACAAAAGCATGTCAGAATGTGAGCTTTTCCTGAAGGGCTTTTCTCAAGCTCTGAGTGAAAAACATACATTACTGAAATACATATAGTCAATCATCTACTATAAACACATTTAAGGGCACACCTGTGATGTTCTAGTGTATTCCTCATAGAGTCGGTCGTACTCTCTGTTCTTTTCTTGGTACTGCTGGTGGTATTCGTGCAACTTCTTCCCAACAGCTTCTATATTGTCCTCCTTTACCACCTGATCCTGTAAATACAAAAAACATACATCCAATAAAATGTTTCCAATTGAAACGTGATGATCTAGAGTGAAGTTCTTCGGGACACTATATTCCAGTGAAATCAGAGGATGATTACCTGTTGGTGCTTGGAAACAGGATACAGTAGTTTCACATCTAGTTTGGGGTTGTACTGGGCGAGAGATTCGTGCCGATAGTGGTTGATCAACTCAACCACAGAGTTGAAGGTTAGTGGGTCTGAAAAGCCGTATTTTCCATCACGATGGAAGATTTTGATCAGCTTGTTGTTACCTCCTTTCCTGTACGGCCAATAAAAAGTAGTATTTAGATCAACCCTTTGAGTCAAGGCAAGCACCCTCAATAAAAAAAAAAAAATGCAGACACACATATGGGTTTTACAAAGGAGAACTTACCTCAATGTCAGTGTGTAATCCCCATGCATTTTAGTGGAGGCATCTCGGACCAAAAATGTACCATCAGCAGTGTCCCTAAGCTTTTCGTTGACCTCCTCCCTGCAACAGAAAGAGAGTCAAACTTTTACAAAAAGAAACATTAATAAGAACAATTAAACAAAAATGCATGCTTATCTGACCAAACATTAGGTTTGATGAGTACTTGCCTGGAGATGTCCCCCCAGTACCATTCAGCGTCTTGCAGAGCCATGTTGTTGTTCATACCGTTGTTAGTGACAGACGTTGGTTTGGGTGGCTTGGGAGGTAGTGCTGTAAAGAGAAAAAGAGAAACTTGGTTGAGACCAGAACTGCTGATGAACCAGCAGCACTCAATGTCATTTACACAGACAACATGTGCAGGCATGCTCAAACCTATCTGTCAATATGAAACAACCGTATTACTAAAGGATGCTTCAATCTGATGAGGAGAAAGGAAAACCCCTAAAACATCCTATGGCGTTTTTCTGTCAAGTTGACAATGAATATTTTTTCCCTAAATGTGACAGTCATGTTTTAAAAGCATGCAACGGTTACTGCAGTTTTCTCGAATTCTTCCCTCCTCCCCTTCCAGCGTTTCCCATTTCATTAAATGCAGCTGAGCACATGCCTCTCGAACACTCAGCAGGGAGTCGGATTCTTTACTCCATGAGAATGCATTTCATTGACCCTTCCAAAAAATCTTTTCATCACCATTTCTGGATCTGGCCAGCATTATACCACATAAGCTGTTCCTGATATGCACAATCACACATATAAGTCACGGAGATACAAGACGGGATAAGGAGCTTTAATTTGAATTTGATAATATCAGTTATTTGAATCATCACTTGACCTTTACAACAAGTGTTTCAGAACAGAATTAGCACCATTGCTAGAAGCAATGACATCTGACAGCATGCAGAGACCCACTGATAAGCTTTTCAAAGCATTGCAATATGCACATTCATGCAAGAATCCTTAACCATTGAGAACATGTTGCTTTGCTGGATAGAGGCAGAGGTTGCATCTGATTGGCTGCTGGGCCGAGTGACGGCAAGCAGCGGGGGCAGTGCAGTCTCCGTGGAGCATGAGGCAGAGCTGAAGCGGTGGGCTATTTTTATCTTCCAACCCCCCCACCACCTCATGCACACTCACTGTCTCTCCTTTGTTCACTTCAGTCACTATCGTCGCTAAGCATTTTCTGCCTAGTGCAATCACACAACATTAAATCAGATACACCTACAAGAATCTATCTGACAAACCTCCATGCCAGGGCAAGGTATAAATAGGCCCTAACAGGTAATAAAACATTTAAACAGTCACACAGCCAGACTTGGGGCCCCTGGCAGCCTGAGAGAGATAGATGGATAAAGACAGGGAGAGAGACTTTACTGCTGCTATACAAGCCCAACTAGACATCTGGCCTGTGTTCAGGGCAGCATACACACAGCAGAAGTGTCTCTGTGGTCTGTCCCATCTCTAAATGAACCTGACCCACAAAGGCAAGGGAGTGGAACACAGATTTTTCAACAGAGCACTCCCATCCATTAAACATTCATATCTAAGTGCTACACTGCAGCCAAGACTACACACTGATGAAGTGAAGGGGCACAGCTACTTCATATAAGAATTAAGAACATCAACGCTGTTGTCTTTTTGCTGCATAAAACAAATCAGAACTGGACATCTTCCCTTTTTTACAACTCTTTTCTGTCCATTTCAGCAATTCTTTGGAACAGTGTTTGCTTTTGATCTGACGTACAAGGTGTGAACATCAGTTGGATCTGTGGGCTAGCTCATGCAGTAAACTAAACCCTGTTGCTAATCCATTGCACACAATTTCTCAGTTACTTATCTTCTTTCCAATGTTGTCTACCCTCCATGTACTCTAATACATTATAAAAAAGGTGCATGTGTGAGACATTGGGCCATGGTACTCAATGTTTGGACAACACCGGTTTGAATATATCTCGTCATCGCTATCCTATTCCCCCACCATTGTCTCTTGTCTTGTCAAAAATATTTCTATCAGTAAAAAGCAGAATGACTGCACTATTTTGCAATGCCATAGAGCAGTGTTTCTCAACCTTTTTGACTTCAACAATGCATTTTAATATGGTGTCAAGTTTAAAGTTTTACATATTTAATTTTAATTTGTGAATATAGCTAAATTTCAATAAATTAATTTTAAATAACTTATTGGTTGAGAACCATTGCTTTGTATTTTTGTGGTTTGTACTCAACATAATAGTATTTTTACCTGGAGCCGCCTGACTGTCACTCCATTCGCTGGTCACCAGGACTTCAATTATCCGAATGTGTGCCTCTGGGCTGGGCTCACAGCTGGAAATGGAAATGGAACATCAGGGTTTTTTGCTAGCTGGCAACAATGTGATTCATCAGCATATATGTGTGTGAGTGTACCTGGTGGTCTGTTGTCTGAAGAGTGCCGGGCTGAAGATCTCAGCGAGGGCACGAGCACTAAGCAGGTTGGCAGCTGAGGCCTGGCATACACGGGAGAAGTGGTGCAGCAAGCTCTGCAGGGTCAGCCAGTACTGCGGAGGAAGTGCAGAGGAGCTGGCCACCAGCCGCAGGTGGTGTGCGCATTCGTCTGTACCCTGCACTTCTGAAGAGACAGAGAGACAGAAGAGTGTTTAAAAAAAAAAAGCTCTCACACCCACTTTAATACACTTAGCGTGTCGTCAGAACACATCCCTCGACCTTTGTCTCAAGGGCTATGTATTTATAGTGAGCTAAACAATCAACGAGGACATATGCAAAAAAAGTGTACATGCAGTCATGTGGAAAATTGTGCTCAGTGCGCAGTGAGCAACTAACCGCATAAGATCTTAAGCGAGACAATGACAGAGTGAGTAAGGTACTCTGAGAGGTGATTGGTTGACAGCGCTGATGTCGCAGACAAGTTTTCAGGTTTGCTTTAGGTCTATTAACCACAGATATCCTGTTTCCAGCCACGTGACTGCACACTACCCAAAAGAGAACTTTAA